GGTGAAAATGTTGAAAGGTATTTTATTACCATAAGCTGTAGTAAATGTGAATTTAGCCTAGAGTGACCTAAATTAAATACAGAAACTTATACAATATTTTCTCTGATGGGTCTAATGAAAATACAGTTTTTAAGCAAGCTTTTAAAAAGAATCAAACAAAAGAAAGCATGTTAATGTGAAATGATCCTCCACTAATGATTTTCCTTAAAAAAAAAAAAAAACTTTCTGTAAAGCCTAAACAAGGCAGAAAAGACACACAGACACACATCTGTCATATGTTTGCGGCTTTATAGTTACTGCTTTAAGAAAGGATGTGAGTTATGAAGTGAGTCCTTTTGTAAACATTCTAATAAAGTCTGGGTAAGACATACAAGGCATCAGAACCCTTCAAGCTGCTTGCTGTTCTCTAAATAATACTAAGAATTACATGAAGTCTGCAACTTCCATGTATAAATTGTTACACCAACTCAAAACACTGGACTGTTCCTCTTTTTTCCTCTTCTTTTCTTTTTTCTTTTTCTTTTTCGATTCATCATTTTTAAAATTTTTAAAGAAAACTTCTTTTACTCTTCCACCTTACAGAGGTGAGAACACTGCAATGAAATAAATCTATATTTTATAAGATGCCCGTGCTTTTTGGAGAAAGAGTCCTAATTTTCTGAGTCCTAATTTTCCTCTTCCCCCCTACACACACAGTTTCTAAAACCTTGAATCCTTATTTCTGTGGAGGGCACCAAAGATGACAAGAGCATGAGCACATTCCAGCCTTTTATTCTTAGGAACGAGGTTGTAAGGGGGATACGGAAAAGCCAATTAGCCTCTGAATTACTTTATTAACTGTAGTCTTTAAAAACGTAAATGAAAAGACAATAGATTTTAATAGTGCAGAACATACAGTGGAATAACTCCTCTTGCCCCCCCCCCCAACTTTTCTACTAAACATCTTTGAATCAAATAATTTCAATTCTTTGGAATTAATGTCCACGAAGACTGCTTAAAGAATTTATATTCTCTCCTGTCTTCAGAGTGTAATATTGCTAGTTCAGCCCTATTTCTACTAACTCTAATGACTCTTTTTAATAGCTTATTTTTGTTATTTAATTCTAATCTAATTTATTGACCCCTAAAAAAAGGAAATGTTAAAAATTATAAAAATGTCTTCAACCAGTTAAAGAAAAAAAAAATCTTCATTTCAAAAGTACTTAGAGGGCAAGAAATGTTAAATCAAGAGAAAATCTGAAACTAAGGTGAAAAAAATTGAAGTAAAACTAACAAGTTATTATCAAAGTATCAACTGTTAACAAGATTTGTTTTATGACTGTGGTGTTACTAGTTGAAAGCAACAAAGGAATACAAACATGACAAAAATTAAATTAACAAAACAAAAACTAACACTGCAGATTAAGTATGCTGACTCGTGTAGGATGTGGAAGTCTAATCAACTTCCTAGGGCACTCTAAATAGTGTTTATTTACTATTATTTCATTAGGATTTGTGTTCCTTCAATTCACTGTTAAATTTAGTCTATGATCTAACATCATGAATTTATTCCTATTTTCTACAATAAGAATGACCTGTAAACAAAAATGGTTACTGCAAAATTACATGTCAAAAAAGAAAACTAGAAAGAGCAAAGAATTTGAGAATATAGAAGCTATAAAAATATTTTAATTTTTACTTGTCTTTCTATTACCAACACCCAGCAACTCTGGGACCCTCACTCTCTTTCACTATTGCTATATATATATATATATATATATATATATATATATATATATATATATATATTTATGCATGCATGACAACAAAATACGTTTCAATAAAAATATATTTGAACTAGCGAAGCAAAATTGCTTTAAGCTTTTGATCTGTCTCGTAGCTCCCATCTCTGAAAGTCTTCCCCTCTCAACAGTTACATTCAAAAAGTCTAAGATATACAGCTGATGATTCAAGCTGAATGACACGACGATAAACTATGGTTTCTCCTGAAGATAAAATACGTCATAAATCGGTGCAACACTTACCTCATTTTAAATATTACTGTCTCCTTTTATCAGGTAACACTATATGACCTCCCCTTACCTTCCCTCTTCCCATATTTTACATGGGATTTTAATTCTATGCAATGATCACAACCAGAATTTTTTTTAATTAAAATAGGATATATGGCTTTAAAGGCTTAGGTTATCTGATAGACAGATTTAATTTAAAAAAAAAAAAATAACGAGGACAGACTGACTTCTGATGCCCTGTAAAATATGGCAATAACGGACTTATACCAATTTTTAAATTGCAATAAAACTCTTTACATTTAGCTGCAATTTATCACATGATATAAAATGATAGGCATCGCGGTTTCATAAAATGGAAATGTATTCACAGCTAAATGGCAAAAAGATATTTTTGCCGGGACTGTATGACAACATAATATGTCTTTTTCCCTCATTAAAATATCTATTTGTGAATTACAGTGGCCCCATCAACACTGTATTTCCAGAGGATTGCTTGATTTATACTGTCCAGTCTCCAGCCAGAAGTCAGCTTTTTTCTGGATACTCAAATCTGGATTACACTCCCAAAACTAATAAATGCGTTAAATGTACTAGTGTAAATCCTGATTATGATCTGCATAGCTTTGGACTCATATCCTTCACCCTCCCAGTCTTGTGGAGAGGCAGGTTTTCTTCCTTGGCTGACAAAGAGGACTGAGGTTCTCCTGGTCAGGAGGGAGCTCTGGGAGGGATGGGCTAGTGGGCAGCTGACCACGGCTCGCCTGGCCTCTCTGCCCTTTTTCTTCTCCCGCTGCCCCAGAACAGACACTACTTGCCCCTTCCGGATACATAAGTCTTATCTATCACCTGGGAACATCAGTCACGATGGCTTTTCCCATTTTCCAGTTGCTTTTATCTGATACTGGGAATAAGAATAGAAACCTGTGGACTCAGTCTCCTAACTCACCCCCACAAATGACTCCACCTTCTGAGTTCTTTTTCTTCCAAAGCCCTCAGCCAGAAGCCACTGCATGAACTCTTCACTACACCCTTTCATCAGAAGGCCTCTGTAATCTGATGAGTCTGTCGTGCATTTAGGGAGATTCCCATACCAGCTGAAATCTCTATATTGACTCAATCAATCCCATTTAAATTATTGTGTTTTCTTTTAACCATACAAGGACTCTTTACTATGTGACAGCTTTACATACATATAAGTAAATAACATATCCTATTTTCATGTAGTATGAAAAAGAAGTAAAATGCCTTTCGTGCAATCCTATTGATTTTAAAGGTTTTCACAAAGCATGCTTTGTGAGGGTTTTCAAATTATGGTGATAGATTTGTGCATATCAAACTGTCTTACCACCCCAGGCTCTGTGGGACCAGGCCATGCCTTCGTCACACCCTGCCTTGAGTTGACATGGGGTTAATAGTGCAATCTATAACCTTAAAACAGAATGAAGCCAATTAGTCTCGACATGCTCTCCCAATGGCTTTCCAGACCCATAATCCTGAAGCCCCAAATGTACTCTAATTCCTGAATACTGGCAGCTTCCCTTCTCCGAAACTCTAAACAACCTTCTTTCTACACCATAGGGTTCTCTTCTTCCCTCCTGCCTCACAAAATCAATGCCCTGCCCTTCCACATGGAAATCTCTCCACCTATGCTTATTTCCATCTCCTCTTCCTCCTCAGGCACTTTGCATCAGCAATTATCTGCTCTTGTCCTCATCACAGACTCCTAACACTATGTCTTCAAAGACACTTGCATCCAGTTGGGGAAAAAATTACTTCATGTGTCCCTACCACATTCCTCCAGCTATTCTTCCATTTCTGTCCTTTTCCTTGCTATAAACTTCCCAAGCACTTCGTCTTCTCCTTCTAGTGCACATAGTCCACACATCATTAATTATTTGTTTCATGTCTATCTTCTCAAGGGAGCTATAAACTCCATAAAGGCAGAGATTAAGTTGTCTTGTTCCAGGCTATAAGCTCAATGCCTAATACAGTTTCTGGCACATAGTGATCATTAAAAAAAATATTGATGATATTGGATTATTTTATTTTGAAAAGTGCTTTTTTTTAACCTCTTTCACCATAACTTTTGCAAATCTGGTTTCTACCCTCTACTCTTATGAAATTGTACGGTCATCAAAAACTTTATTTTTGGGGGGTACAGAAGCAAGATGAAATAAATAACAAAACCATTGAACAGAGAAGATGAGCAAAGGAGGAAGGAGAGAGAGGAAGAGTGAGAGAGAGATAAAACCACCAATATTCAGCCATAAAACTAAAATTTCAAAAAACATGAAGAAATCAATTTTTTAAAAATGTATGGTTTATACTATCTAAACAATTGCTTACAAAGCAATAACATTTTTCTCAGTCTTCTTCTTTTTTTTTTTTTTTACCTTTAAGAATCTGATGCATCTAAGGCCGCTTTCTTTGGGGACCCCTCCAGTGAGCTGTTTCTCCTCCCAGTCCAGCCACAGAGACCTTTTCTCAGTCTTATTCCTCCAACCTTTACAAATCAACCCTGCCACCTACACCCCAACCTCCCTGCCTGGAACGTTGTATTAAACTCCAATCTCTCCCATCTCAATCCACATTGAACATTACAAGGAGGCTAATTTCCCCTGTTTGAAAATTTCCAAAGCTTCTCACTGATTGTATTATTAAATCTTAACTCCTCATTCTGGCATTAAAGGCCCTTCATAATCTATACCTAATTTGTCTCCAACCATACCACCCAAAGTACTTATAGTCAGCCCAATCTACTTACTAAGACCACAAATGTCTTATATTTTCTTCCCTAAGACTTTTTTTTTTTTTTTGGTACGTGCCCTTAGCGGGAACTGAACCCGGGACTCTCTGGTACGCAGGCTGAGGCTCCAACCACTGAGCCAAACCGGCCAGGGTTCTTCCCTAAGACTTTTGCTTAATGTCAGCAGCCCTGCCTAGAATGCTTCCCCTCCTTCAGTATATCCAAACATTATTCATCTTTTTTTCCCCAAAAAAATTACACCAAGGAAAAGCAGAGCTCTAGTTGATGCAAGTGTGTTTAGGTGTTAGCGGTACTGTCCTCACTACATGCTCATTGCACAATAGCACAACCCCAAGAAAAGGATGGTTATTATTTATCTTTTAATATTCAGTCTAGATTATTGTTTCTTCATTAAAGTCCAACAACAACAACAAAATCCAAGTATAATGGTGTCCATTTGAACCTTTTTTGAGGGGAAACCAACCACATTCTTAATAATTTATTTTCCTTTGTTTTTTTAGGTTGGGAATAACTTTGTAATACATTCTAGGTGTTCAAAATTCAAGGGGTACAAAAGCATATACAAACAATGTCTTTCTCCTAATCCCATTCTTCAACCAGATAGGTTCCCTCTGGAAAGCAACCAATGTGTACACTTCTGGAGATATTTTATTAGAATTAAATAGAATGTATTGCGTTTTAATAAGTTTATCATTTTGTATCAAATAAGTAGGTATCTATTTATCTCTTTCATACCTATTTAACACTGTACTAACATTATTTTCCCATTTATGGAAACTGTGTGCCTTGGCTTCTTTATAGATTTTTGAAAAATGATTTATTGACTTTTATTTTTAGAGAGAGAGAAGAGAGAGATTGATTTGTTGTTCCACTTATTTATGTATTCATTGTTTGATTCTTGTAAGTGCCCTGACCAGAAATTGGACTTGCAAACTTGGCATATCAGGGTGACGCTCGAACTAACTGAGCTACCTGGCCATGGCTTTGGCTACATTATAGAAATGTCTGTTATAAATATTCCTCAATTGATTGTGCAAATTTTTATTTCAAGTTTGGAACAGACTATTCAATGGTAAACACTGAATCTCCAGCACCGTCCTCCTCAATTAAGAAGGATAAAAAAAGCAAGCAGTAGGTTTTTTCAAACACTTCCTCACCATACACAGCCTTTAAAGGAAAATTAAAGCACAACTAATCACTTATGCAGATGTGCATTGTTTTACTGCCATAGTTTAATGTGTTCCAGATAAGGCACATATTACCCTATTTCCTTTGGTTCTGATACATATGCTGATACAAAGATTAGCAGAATCACTGATTTGTAATGGATGATTCTGTTTCATTTTAGAAATTTCCCATTTCTGCAGCATTCCAAGTTTGCTGAATGTGTGTTTGCACTGAAATTTTTGTTTCATAATTAAGTCCATCTCCATTTCACCTTGTACATGTTAGAAATGACAGGAGAGCCCACCCACCTTGTTACTGTTTCCTAAATGTCCTACAGTTTCTTATAATTATTTTAAACATATATAGAAAACTTTGAAATAATAAAGCTCCAAATATTTTTTTTAATTATAAAATAATACCTAAGGGTCAAACATCGGAATCAAAGTAAGTTTTATTCATAGTTAAACATTGAACCTAGCATTACTAAGTTAAAATATTACCCAGTACACAGTAAATCAAAAGGTTTATTTGGTCAATAGAGAGCAAAAGCAGATAAGCTAGTACACCTCAAAATTCATTAAAGGTTCTTTATCTATCAGATTGATTATTTTTAATGGATCAAACTTACCAGATACGTGCCAGATATTTCCTTAATTTCACATATAGAAAACAGTACCTTAATGTATACCCCGTGCATGACCCTTGAATTAGGATATTCTTTCTGATTAGTGTAATATTTAAATCAATACTCAAGGCTTAAATATTAATGCCAAAGGCCCAATTTTTGTTAGAACAAAGTATCTAGAACCAGTAAATAAAATCCCATTTTCAAAAAGTTAGTCTAGATTATTATTATCTATACCAGCACTGATACTTTTGAAAATTAGAATTATTTCTTCTTGGAACCCAATAGAAAATACTAGCATTTTAGGCTTAAGAATTATGGTACTCATTAAATCCCAGAACTGTAACGTAGTTCTGGTTTATGCTTCTTTCCTTAATGGCATACTTCCTTTCCAACTAAACACACACACAAACAATATTTTCGCAAGTTTACTTTTATTCCTAATGGCATTTCACGTAGAACAGTCTCATAAATACAGAATTCATAGTAAACTACAAAATATTCACGTGTGAATGAGATCAAGTAGGCTTCAATAATTCTGATCCATCACAAAGACTGGGTTTCTTTTTTATCCTCAATTTTGTTTGGGGTTTTATTTCAAATGTTGGGAATATATTATCATCAGTGGTTTGAATATTTACCAGCTGAGAAATTAAGCAGCATTTAACAGTTAAACATACTGCTCAAGTGAGATGTTAAGACACTGTTAAAGGGGTTGGAAGCACTTAGTTTTGAAAGGCATGATATATAGCCAGGGAAGTAAATGTACCCAAATAATTATGTTGTCTTTGAAAGAGTGGCCTATTTATAAGTAGGATAGCCAATGAGACCGAGGTAGTAGTTGTCAAATTTACAGGAAGTAATTAAAGAAGCAGAGATTCTCTTCTTTTACTGGTTGTTTCTGGATTCCATAGAGATTATGAAGAGAGACAAGAAAAATGACAGAGCAACCTGAACAGCCCATGAAACTTTCTACTAAGAAAATTGTTGTTCTCCACGGATAAACATAACAAACACCTATTGATTTTATTTTATACTGTATTCATTGTGATTTTTGTACACAGACATATTTGATTTCTACATTTTAACAAAAACACAAGGATATTTTTCCCCAAGAGACGTGTTCCCTATTTCACCAGCATTTTACAATCCTCTCCATCTTCCATTCCTTTGGTTTGCTGCCATCTGGCATTGTGCCTTTGATTTTATGAATAAGGTCCCCAATTGTTTCTGCAGCTGTTATCAGTGCAGTCTGACCTGTTGCAAATGGGGAAAATAGAAAAAAAAATATATATATATCTCCACGACGTACACAACATCTCATTCCTGTGGCTCCCTTCCCAGGCCTTGCATTGTGATTATCTAGTGTACATTCCTCAACACAGATGCTGACATTACTAGACCCTTGGTTCAAGGAAGGTATAAAATGAACCCTTTTCCATAATCATTATTTATAAATATATGCATGAGTCTATGAATACTGGGTCTATTAATTCTATTTGCATTACATATATGTGTGATCATTCTCATTCACTGTCACAATAATGCTTCTAATTATACAATTTCTGTCTCATTCCAACCAGTTGTTTTCTACATCCACAATGATGTCTATATCTTTCATACTGACCTCACGCAAAACCATAATTCTCAAATTGTACTCCCAAGAGCCCAGGGGGAAAACGTAAAGATGTGGAGCTGCTACTGGCCCAGCTCTCTCTTATAGACCCATCACTCTCCTTTTAACTAGGGCAGTTCTTTTTTAATTCATTGTATGCATTGGGCTTCCAGGTAAAATTCCATTTGAAATTCAAGTTTCACTACAGATTTTGAGGACAACTGAATTTATTTGGGGCCAGGGGCACTTCAGCCCATAGATAGATGAAATGTTATTGTAGCTGAAAGGGCCTTTATTAGCAACCTCCCCCAAATTATCTGCCCTTGTAGCAAAGCCGCCTCGAATTTTCATTTCCAGTCCCACCTCTTTTTAAGGCATTGAAAACATCAGTTTCAGGGGACCTATAATAGATTGGACAGGAGAGCACATTAAGCCATCCATTAGCACTTCCATATGAATAAGTTTATCTATTAACTCTGGAGAGGGGAAAAAAAAAAACAAAACCTAGTAAGTTTTATTGAGGGTTGAGGGGTGAGGATAGAGAAATGTTTTCCAGGTCACCACTTCAGGGAACTGTAAGTTACTCTGTCACTGGGGAGTGGAGGGACAAACAAATAAAGATAGGGAACCCTGAGCGGTAGAGGGCAGTGATAAGAAACCTAGGCTCTAAAAAGTGAGCCATAGAGTGAAGGGTGATGCCTAGTAAAGGGTGGGGGGCAGGTCTCATCTGACCCTCCTCTTGGGCAGAAGAGCTCCTACTTCTGAATCAAAGGAGATTTTCTTTTCTGATATGAGTACTTTATTCTTCCGATCATGTCAACTATAAATATATTTCTTTTCATGGGATTTTACTCTAAAATAATTCTGTCGTCGACCTGGCCAGTTTGCTCAGTGGTTAGAGCCTCGGCCTGCGGTCCAGAGAGACCCGCCTTCGGTTCCCACTGAGGACACGTACCTCAGTTGCAGTTTGTCCCTGGTCCTGGTTGGGTCGTGCGGGAAGCAGCCACTCGATGAGTCCCTTTCATGTTGATGTTTCTCTCTCTCTCTCTTCCTCTCTCTCCCTCCCACTCTATCTGAACAAAAAATGTCCTAGGGTGAGAATTAAAAAAAAAAAAAAGAATTTTGTTATCACCAATACCAATAATAATGCCTAACATATATCCATCCTGAGTTCTGTCTCTTTCATAAAACATGTCCATTCTTCCCCAAATTTAGGCAAGAACATTCTCAAATTTATGCACAAATTATGTGTTGTACACATTGATGTCTACTGCCCCTATTTTTAACATAGGAAGCTATTCATTTAAGGTACAAAGGTAAAATGTAATACCATAAATTCCCTAATTATATTCTCCCTGCAGCAAGGTATGGGCATAGTATTTAACTCCCACAATTTGTAAAATGAATGGGGGAAAGGCCCACTGGGTCTAGTTTTTACATTTCATTAAAGTGATAAGTAAAATTGAGTTATAGCTATGACTCAGTATGTGTAAATTATTATTCCACATCTCCAGGCCTGCACTGGAGGAAGTTTCCTTTAAGCATAGCTCTGTACACACAGTGATTTTGTGCTTCTGAACTGAGCGTGATCCCTGGCTAATTCTAAAGCCACGTTTGCGGACAGCTTAACTTTACAAAGGAAGGAGGAAACAAGACTGGATTTTAGAAATACTGTGGAAAGTTCCAGTAAATGTCAACTTCAGATGGGAGTGGGAACTAAAGGAGAGGTGGCAGAGAAGTTTAATGAAGTGCAACCAGAACTCTCCCAAGAATTTTACCAGTTGTCCCCACATATGCCTATGAAATTTTCAGATACACATAGCAGTATTGCCACCTAATCCTTTATCGTTGAAAAAATGCTTTCACATGCATTTTCTCTTTTCTTCAGGCTGTGATCCCTGAACGCACTGAGACCCAACAAAGAGTCATCCAGGATGCT